TGGCCAATGGATGCCTTGGTAGCATGGACGTTATCATGGTTTGGGCACGGATGCACTGGAAAGTGGATGCCTTGGTAGCATGGACGTTATCATGGTTTGGGCATGGATGCACTGGCCAATGGATGGGATGCGAACCTGAGCGACAGAGAAAGCGGGGCAAACGAGGGCGATGGAGCCTATATATAGCTACCATAGCAACATTGGCAACATCGGGTAGCAAACCCTCTGCCTCTGCTCCCGCATACCAGCGGCAGCAGCAACCGTCTGCAACGCCCAAAGTCCCGGCTGCTCGCCTGCACTATGGCTAGTGGTGCTCTCTGTCGGATAGCTTGGGATTTTTTGCGATTCTATGCGAATCTTCTCGGGGAGACAGGAAGCAGCCGAGCTGCCACACAGCGTCACGTGGACCTCGCCCTGCAAGGCTTGTCGGGCGAGGAAATAGAAAACTGAGACATTAGAGAACTGCATGGGACCAGTATGCCCAAAGCTGCCCAATCCTGCGTCAGATTCGCAGCTGACTGGAAGAAGTGCGCCAGCAGTGCTGTGTGTTGCCTCACATGGGCACCTTGGCTTGCAGGCACATGTGTGCTTCATCAGCACTCGCCGACTCTCTACTTGCGGCTAGCAGCTGTCGGGCTCGTGACCATCGTCAGCGACGCCACCCAAATGTGGGAAGTTGAAGATAATGGCCACGGGGCACCCAATAGTCGGAGGGAGAGAAGAGGACAAGTTGCAAGCATCCACTCTGTGGAGGACCACCGCACCTCGGCGCAGCAGTTCCTCGCGGACCTCGGAAACTAACCGATTTCAGAACCGTTTTCTACTGCGCAAGACAACTTGCAAAGTCAGTGAACCGAAACCATCCCCAACCCAGCGCAACTTCCACCTGCGCCCAAGGTCTGCCAAGGAGCTGCATCGGCGGAATGGTAGCGGCATGCAAGCTCCTCTTGCGTGAGCCACGTCGTTGCAATGACTTTCACGGACGCAACAGCCCGAGAAAGAGCCAAGGAGAAGGACAGGTCTCCATCTCCCACTGTCAAAACGCACTTTTCGCTTCTGGCCATCATTGCTCCAACGACGTAATCATACCCATGACGAAACGGTGGCGTCTTCAAGGCCTGGAAGCAAGAACCTGAAACAACATGTCAGTCTGGAAGTGAATCCTCGGTTCAGAATGAAAGCACATACATCTAAACAAAAGCCAGCAATACTTGATCGAAACTCTCTTGGGCTTCGCAAGAAAGGTCAAGGTCGTGACATGAGCCTCTAAGAAGAGACAGACGGAGTTCTGCAACATGTCGAGCCACTGCAGTGGTGTGCCCTGTTTTCCTTTTCCGCAACTCCATGGCTCCGCTCACGCTTGCCTCTACACGTCTCCCCTGTGCGGATAATCCTGCCGCAGCTGGGCTCAGTATGTGACTCCAGGTGAGCTGCGCGGAATCTGTTTCTCTGAGTGGTCGGCGCTGGCTGTCAATAAGTCAATCTGCCAAGGCAACTTAGCTGGCGGAAAGCCCGATGGTTGGGAAGCTTCGGGCCCTCAGCATGTGCTCGTTGTCTCAACAACATGTTCAGCTGCCGAAGCCTTGCCTGTGGGCCTTGCCTGTGGGTTCCCACCTAACTCTCATGCAAGGCTAACTAGTCTACGGATTCTTGCCAATCGAACATCTCCCATGCAGCTCTTGATTGGTACAGAGCCGGGGATAAGTCCCCGTTCCAGTTCCCAGTCTGGTGCACGCATGATTAGATATAAGCAACAAGCATTTTGCAAGATGCTGGCTGCAGGCAGCTGCCGAACTACGTCTGGATCCAAGATCTCCTTGTGGGTAGTCTGCAAAACAACCAATAGCTCAGCTGGGGACCCCACGAGCAAACTTGCGTATGTCAACTGTCACAAACTCTGACACTGCACCGTCGCTGACCGGGACACGGGCAAGGACATGGACAGGCATCTTGAGAGGAACACGGACTGGGATGCTCTGGGACACCGGCCGGGTCCCGGACCGGAACACTACCCGGACAAAACTGGACAGCACGTATGCAAGTGCACGTAACTGCCAAAACGCCGACCGCGAAACCGCCCAAAACGATGCAGACGGGGACACCGACCGGGACCCGACCGGCACACGACCCGGACACGAATGAGGCTCACGCGGATACCAACACGACGGGACACTTGCCGGGACACCGACCCAAAGCCACGCACTGCTGTTCCAGTTGGCTTCGCAAGTCAGCAGCATGCGTCCAAACTGTCTCTGTGATTCAATGCCCAAGCTCGTTTGGGGAGTCCACTATTTTGGGGAGGGCGGGGGGACCTCTAATGCGCATGGGAAGGGGGCGGAGGTGCGTCGAAAAATGAGATGGTGGTAACACTGCACCCTTGCTGCCATACCACACTATCCACACTGACCAGCCGACTGGACCAAGCGACGGGCCGGCAGCCGCACCACCCACCGGACCAGATGACTCGGACTTACCAACCGCACCACCGAGATCGCCCTAAACTTGGGATCCGAGGCGTCGTTAAGAGTATTGGACCCCAAGATGAACGCTACCAAGCAGGGAATCTTGAAATCTAGTTGAATGTCTGAGGGCCGTGAACATCTTTCGGAGATATGGATCGGATGCTCAATGCTCACTGGATTTCGAGGTGCTGCCCAACTAATGCTACACGGCATTGACTCGCATTGACTCGCTGGCCTCTTGCTACACCGGGCCCGAGCATCAGCTAGCGTCCGATGCGCAGTCAATGCAGCTCTACAGGCGAGACGAGAGATTTATCGAGACCGTTCAACCCAAGAGGCCACCAAGTGGGTTTGGTGGACACGAACTGTCCAGGCAGCAGTGTTTCTACGCCGGTCTAAAAGTACGCCAGTGTTCACTCTTTCAGCTCACCTTCTGCCACTGGTGGCCCTGGCGGTGGTGGCTCGTGCCCACCTGCAGCGCAACGAAAGGATCGACGAAAACAACCTGTGGTTAGTTACTCTCAGTGCACTCGAACATTGGTTTGTTGCAGGTAGCCTCCATACCTCACTGATGTAGGCACTATAGTTACTAGTTAGCCACATGCTCTTCTGGAATACTTGCTGCGCACAATCTTTCACTCAAGGCACCTACACACATGTGCTTACCCTGTGAGGCATGCATATGATGCGTCGCAAAGCTGCCTGCCTGGGGTAACAACCAGCTCACACCGAAGCCTGAGACTGGCTGGACGAGCGTGGTTGGCCAATGTGACTAAAAGAGGCCGCTTGACTCTGAAATGTCCTGATGCTGAGAAGCTTTAAGGGCAAGCTCACCAGCAGGTCCGCATCGGAGAACTCGCACAAGTAGCCGAGCTCCTTTTGTCAAGGAAAAGTTTCAATCATTCGTGAACACTGCTCTTCCAGGTTTTATGCTATGGTTTACGCTCTCGTGACTCGCAACTCGGGCTGCCCCAGACGAGTGTAGAGATCTTCCCTGTGCTTGAAGGAGCGAAACCCAGCCCTGCCCACCGACACACTCTTTGACAGGTTGTGCTGAATGGTGGCCGGTAGTCCAGAACAAAAAGTCCAGATCAACTATAGCACGACAATTAGGGAGGCGCATGCGTCCCCCTCGAACCTCACACACTCGCCACGTCTAGTCGCGCATGATCCCCCGCGCGATCTCATTTTCGAGGGTTGTGCAGGGTGGGAAAATCGAAAATGGGCCGAAGTCGCACCAAGACAAGTCTAGTCTACGCACAACGAGCCCAACAATCCAATGTGATGAATAATACACTGACCACATTCTACATCAAGCGAAACATGTCTCGCCCACACGACGTGCTAGTCCCTGCGAGCACAGTACACAGCTCCCAAACACCCAGCCATAGAGGCAGTACGCCCAGTCTCACTTAGATGCACGCATGCGTGCACCCCGCTGTACTTCGCGGTGGTCACCAAGCAAAGTCCAGCTATCAAGCAAGACTCGAACAAAAACAGAGTCAACAGTGCGATCCTCCAGCTTGAGTGCGAGCACACGGGCTCGCGCAGAACTGCATATGTGCGTCGGTGCCACCCATCCCTGGCGATTCAGCGAACATAGAAACTGATACTCTCACCGGCCGCTGGCAGGCATGACTTGCGTGCCTCGTCCCGAAACAGCGGGAGCACAAAGCGCGGAAAGTCGAAGGCTTCATCCGCAGCAGCAGCTTCGTCGTCTTGGGCATCCTCATGAGCGCCAGACCGAGACCTCGGAAGCCAGACCGGATTCACCACACCCTGTGACAAGTGGACACGAGCTGCGAACAAAAGCAACGGGTTTCCAGATAGACGGGAGCATAAAAGAGCGGCGGCCGATGCCTGCTGACGTCGTGAGCACCGTTCAACCTGAAATCTGAGATCGTGGCCCGACCGCCTGCCAGAAGCCGAGGGTACAAGCACAGCGTGTTTGATGGATGCTGATAGGAGGTGCTGCGGCTTGTAAAAAACCTGACTACACTCCAAGCTTCGCGTGCACTGAAGCCGACATTCGTGGACCGAAAGCGCCTGGAAATGCTTCTCAATCTGAGTGAGCAATTGGGAGAGGAAGCTGTTGAAGCCCGGCCACCTTGCGGTAGGCTTTGCCCTTGCCCGACTGCAGACTCGCACAAGCCGCAGAACGTGCTGGGCCGGGATTAGATGGGCCTTAGCGGCCTCAGCATCTGTAAGGCCCTCGTCTCGGCATCCCACCTCTGGACTACACCAAGGACCACGTTTTGGCCGACAGTCTTGGCCCTGGTCGTCCGTGTGCTCCGAGAAATGCCGTTCACGAGAATCTCCGCAGGGAGCTCGAGACCTCGCCAGCTGCGGCTGAGCTGCGGCTGTGCGAGCTCTGGTCCATGCAGTAGTCCTGTCCGAGGACCGCACGTGCCGCGTCCCGCAGGACCGCCTCTATAGGAACCGTGGTCGGGACGAAGAGCTCTTCGTAGCGAAACCAGTCCAGCAGTATGCGAAAGCGGTCGGGGCAAACATCCACCGGCAAATGCAGGACTCGGTCTAAACCTCAGACTCACACGCTTGGCCAGTCGGCGAATGCTTCTGAATCCGAACACTGCAACAGTTAGTCAGAGTCAGGGGCGACACACACACACACACGCGCGTCTTGATCAATGAGTGGGGTTTGGAGAGTGCTCGGCGTGCCTCCATCCCCAACTTTGGCCAGCACTTTGGCAAGCAGGGTCTCTGGCTTGGCTTTCACCGCCTACAAGCACGGAAGCTGCGCGTCTTTCCCATGGACATGTAGAAACTGGCTTGGGGAATCTCTAGCAAGCACCGCGCAGCACCTTTGTGGAGATGTGGAAGATTTGGCCACCCACATTGAATGAGAGAAGAGCTGGCTCGGCCGGCTTCCTGAGTGGAGTGCGTCGATGTCTAAGACTTCACATGCTCTGCGCTCACGGCATGGCGGATCAGTACCAAGCAGCTCAATTGTTGCCAAGAACTCATAAGAGGTGACTAGAAGAAGACGATACAAACGCAGCAACACCTTTGTAGGTGCACAAGTAGTAGTGCAGGGACAAATGCTAGTGAACGGTGTTCCCGCGTTTAGTTCATCGATGTCTGCGGCTGGAAATCTCAAATCCACCGCTGCCAAGTTGCTGTCGGACAGGAGCTCTTGCAGGTGCGGCAGTGATCGTGACCTCACTCCGTTCACCCAGCAGGCAATCGGCGTTTACAGCGAGCCGTTGCAAACCAAGGCTTCTCAGCAACTTGAAGCACTTGATATCTGGGTCGAGTGCGCCATTCGCGTCGCTGGATCGCGTGGCAGCAAAAGTGCCAGTGGCAGCGGAGACAGGAACCTTGACAACGATGACAAAGACTCTTGGACAAAAAACTCTGCACTTGTTTCGATGCGAAGCTGCGAAGCCATCAAGTCAAGCCACAGCAGGCGGCTTAGGAAGTTCGAGGCGGGGTGGCACGCCAACCTGGCACGCATCTGGCACAGTCTGGCACGGCAGTGAGCGTGGTGCTGCCATCATCTGCCATCTCATGCCACACGAGGTGCTGGGAGCTGCTTCTACACGAAGCATGCATTTGACGAACGTTTTTACATTTTGAGTGCCATGCGTGCCTTCAAAGCGTTGCTGGCGCCCTTCCTCTCAGCGAGGCCAGCTGCAGCTGCTGTGCGCTTAACACCCACCTTTGTTTTCTGTGGAGTAGGGACCTGCGGCAACGGCTGCGTCGAGATCTTTGCAAGGTCCTAACATGTCCGCATCTGACTTCCAGCCACCACACTATGTTGCATTGAGTATTGCACGCTGCCTGCAAATTCCCTCCGAAGCCGTCTAATCGCCCAATTCAACAAATTCAAGCGGCCGTACGGGTGACAGCAGTTGCGGACTTGGTCACCCCGTTAACCTTGGTCCATGTTGGGAATTGACCCGGTCTTGCAACTCCACCTGGTCTTTCTATCGTGTCTTGGCCTGCAGACAATCAGAGTGCGGTTATGGCAGCGCCTGCCGCTTCTGCCACTAGTCACCGGTCACTAGTGGGCCAAGGCCACGAAAAGGCACCATGACAACACCCCGAACCGTCAGCTGATGTTTCGTAGGCGCATGTGCGGCCCCGTCTACCTAGTGCTCGATCTATGCCGACCTTAGCATACACACTGCAGGCGTCTCAAGACGGGTGTCTTCAGTGCTAGTCACAAAATGCAGCAGTACCTCAACAAAAACGATGAGCTGTTGTCCAATAACCCATCTAATCGAGCACGCAGTCTGACCCACTTCGTTCACATCATCCTGACTTTGGCGTGACGTGCTCTAGTCTCTAGTCCCCTATGCCAAAACCCGCGACGCTTCGTAGCAAGTCGCTGCCAACGCCTGTCACATATTCAGAATGCTTCGCTGTCAGCCAGGCACAATATGGCAAACGTCTCGAACTTGCCCAGCCACGGCCGGCGCAGGGCGAAGTCGATCAACAGTCGTCACAACCTGACAAAGCTGCAAATGCGGCATGCTGCATGCGACGACAGTGTCTGGGAGGAGCAAGCACTTTGGCCGATCCGCCGATTGCTCGAAGCCCACTTCTGGTGGTTTTTTTCTCGGCTTCTGTATTGCGTCGAAGCTCAGAACCAGGCCTTCTCTATCTCGACATCAACAGCCACTGTTGGGGCTTTCGGCTCCTGCCGCGACCTTTCGGCAGCTCTGGAAGAAACGAGTTTGCGTCTGGGGCATGAGACCGTACCCCATTACGATGATTTGCAGGCTTCAATCCCAATGACTGCAATGCATAATGCCACGTGCTGGTGAGCGCTTTGAACCAATGTACACCGATGATTCGATGATGGATGAAAGTCGGATCTGGCAAGACGTGGAAGGTCTGCTCGGCTGGGACATCCTCAAACCTGAAGGTGCGTTGAAAAACGACTGTGCTGCGGCTGCCTCTTGCACGGCAGTGCGCTGTGCGCTGTCGGTATGACCGACATGGTTTCCCGAAGAGCGTGCTGTGGCTATCTAGATGCATTAATTACAACGCCTGCAGTAAACAGTGGGGGCAGAGGCAGACTTCATGAGCCACTATTGGTCGAAGTTGCGCGGGCGCCGGTCGCAGACGACCATCTCCTAAGTGAGCGGAGCATTGGCCGTTAAGCGGCAGCATGGCGTAACATCTGCAGGTACCAAACCGTGTCGAACAGGACCGAAGGCTGGATCGAGACAGCCGCTTAGTTGCCAGTGCTGGCTCGCAGCCATCATCATGAGCGGTCTCATGGGCCGCACATCAGTTCTAGCAGTGTTGTGGATCAGCACGTACCAGTGCATCACGAAGTCTTAACAAACCCAACTTAAGTCGCTTGAGTGTGCGGGCCGATGCGAGTTCTGACAAGTCACCAGCTTTTGGCTCGCTGCGACCGGAATCGGACTTTGCCTTGGGCCAAGTGCCGGTGGGCTGCGCAAAGCGTAAATAAAGCATCTCTGCTGCGGCTCTCTCTCCGTTTACTCAAAGCGGCGATAAGCGTCACTTTCGGACGCTTCGCCTCGGCCATGGCACCAGGTCGAGGTTGTGCACCCGTGAAGCCTCGTCCATGACACATGCCTTTATTGTGACGCTCTGTTCCTTAAAAGCCTATTGAGGCTTCGGGAGAAAAAAAACTGCACTCGCCGTCTTGAGCCAATGAAGGCGAGCCCATGGTCCTGCTCAGAGGAATGCAGTCCCGAATAGGACACATGTGCGCAGCTCTCCAGCACCTCAGCGAGCCACAACTCTTTCAAAAGCAAACTTTGCGTGAGTACCGACGGTGGCAGTCGCCACTTGCGGTGGTTGCCTGCATGGAACAACACCTCGAGACTGCAGCCTCAACAGCATGTGTGTCGAGGCGGGGAGGCTGTGAGAAGGGAAACGACGACGTGGCAGCCAGCCGCTCGGTGTCGTAATGAGAAGTGCCTGTACCAATGGCTGCTGCACACGTCTGGAAAGCCTCCAATCATGATCTAGGACGAGCTGCACAGCTTCCGGGATGTTGAGTGTCGGGTGGATGCCTTCAAGCCACCGGGGTTTGCCTGTTGAAGCTGCAGCGCCCATCATAGCAAAGAGTTCGTGCCAAGAACTTATCCTTCCTTGGCAGTGGAAGCTCAGTAGCTTGGCATCGTTCAAAAAGAAGCTCTCTTGGCGCAATTTTGCAGTCTTGTGTGTGGATGTTGAAGGTATGCACCACCTACACAGCGGTTCTGAAAACGGCCAGTGTGTTTCTCCTTGAGCGCCGAGTGACGCCGCACCTTCGGAACGGATTTAAAGAGTTTCTGGCATCGCGAGCTGTACTCTGACAGTCACTCCAAAGCATACAGCTCTGGCGACTGTTCGTGCTCAAGTCTGACAGGTTAGGCAGCATGCTGCGAGCATTGGTTGATGCAGAATCAACCAGGAGCTGTGGAAAGACTAACAGCTGAACAAATATTCGTAGCCTCAACACCAAGTGAACTCGACTGACCAGCTCTAGGCTCTAGTCCCTGTGTCATCCGAGCCAACCTGACAGCCCCAATGGAAAGAATCGTTCAGCCCACTGCCATTTGCAGGAGGGTGAAGGGATATGTACTGCTCAGGTTTAGGCCACCTGAAACGTCATTGTCCGAAGTGCGCTGAGCAGTGTCGCGAGGCTCCAGGCCTCAAGCTAACTTGAAGGTAGGATTCTTCGGACGTTGCTGGCCAAATCCCTCTCAAACTGGTCAAATCAGCCCAATCCCTAGCTCCCCCGCACAAGATCCCACCTGCGCAGGGCAGGAGTGGTGACAATGCTGGCCGCTGCTGTTTGTGAGCCTCATCTCCGAGCGAGCCAAGCAATGCCCATCCGAATGCAAGCATCAGAAAGACCTATGACAAGAACACTTCCATACAATCTCAAACTTCTTCTTGCGGTATCTTCTCGCGCAACCAAGCACTTGAATGGCCCTTGTGGACAGCACACTCCACGCCCACACTCGTCCAACGAACTACAGTACCAACGCTTTGTTTGAGCAAGCAGTGCGCATAATCATGGAATATTAGCATTCGTTGTGTCAATAGTTGATAAGCTGGAGACCAGCAGTTCGTTGGTCGAACTACCCCGACAATTAATGCACACCTGGGTGCTCTGGTAGCGAGCGCCATGGCGCTTTTCTGAGCATCTCCCGATGTGGCAGAAGCCATTCTTGGACGGAGCGGGTGTGGGCCAATGTGACAGTTTTCCTGCTACGCAACTTCGGGGTTGGGAGGAACTACAGACAAGCGTTGAGGAAGTTGGTGCAGTAGGCGCTCATTATTGCCCGGCCGCCTGTCATGGTTCCACGAATACGGGTTATGGGAGGCATTCGGGAGCCACAAGTGAACAGGTTGTAGCATTCAAACCTGCTTCAGCACAGAAATGCATGGAATCCAACATTAGAAGCTATCTCTGGCCGCAAAAAACAGCCAAGCTTCGCATTGCATAGCGCGCTGGCTCGGATGAAGAAGTATCCAGAGAACCAAAGTGGTTCCATGCCTACCAGAAAGTGCTGGCACAGGGCTCATTGCAACCCAGGCTTGCAGCAAAGTTTGACATCAAAGGAATCTACAACCAGAGGAGAAATGAGACTTGGCGCACATCGCGACGTCAACATGCTGGGATAGGCGACCCCTGTGGTTCGTTGTGATCTGTGCTTCCGATATTCGCTCCCAGCTCGTTCGGATATCCTGATGCTCACGGGATTCAGTGCACTGCGGGTGAAACACTGACGCTTAGATTTCATTCTCTGCACTCTGCGCATTGAGCTATCCTGACTCTCTGACTCTCTGTCTGCCGTATGCCGTACAGATGTATACTCGCACCATTCGTGGGAGACTCCCGTTGTGACTTACAGCACATGACACTGGAAACGAATTGTGAGACAAGCGACCTTACGTTTGCCAACGACAACATCAACGTGACGACTGCGCCAGCAAGGACGGGGGTCCAGACCGCAAGGTGCTGAACGGCAGACAAAGCATGGGTCTGAATTACAACAGTGATCGCAACAGCGGCAACCTGCCGGAAACTCGTTACCACAAGTTGCGATCGTCCAATAGAAGCCTGCGCCGCATGTACGAATATAGCCGTTGTGCCGCTGCTGCAAGTGTTGCACAGAAGAACTAGACTCAAACAACACTAGATCACACTCGTGGCGCAGCCACAGCAGCGACAGCAACCTGAATAGCAAAATTGTTAGCACAGATGGTGACAATGCGGAATAAGCATAATCACCGCATAGACATCGCATCGTGCCTCCCACCTCGCCGTTCCACTTAGCAACCATCCGGAGGGCCATACATCATCCGAAGCCCAAGCTTTCAAATTCCAAAGAATTTAAAAACAAAAAACATCAAGAAACCAGGGACTTCCTGCCTCGAGGAAGAATCCTAGTGGCCACACCCACTCCGGACCTTGATGGTAATTCCAGCCATGGGCGATCCACTGGTCACTCGAGTCGTTGTCGTTGTGATAGTCCCCATGGTACTCCTTCACCATCCCCGCAGCGTGGATAAGAATGCAGATCTTCTCATCAGAAACCCGAACCGAATAGATCGACCCACTACCCCAAAGCATCGGCAAACGGCAGCATCCGAACTGACAGCCGCGCATGAACTCTTATCCTTGTCGGCAGGGTCCAGCGTGCACATGCCCAGGGGCCCAACCAGTCGGCTCGCCACAACCTGCACTGATCAGCTGAAGCATCCCTAGCCAGAGCCTTGACAGCGACATCAATCCGACGCAGTAGCCTGGGCGTGCTACTGAGCGAGCGATCGAGACAGAGTGCAAGAGAAACGGGCGAGTGAAGAAACAGAGGGACAGAGGGCGAGAGCGTGCGAATGCATGCGAGGCGAGCAAACAGGCAAGCCCGCGACGACCACCAAGTTTTGGTACTTTCGGGGCCGGCCTGCAGCGCAGTGTTGGCATGCTCAGGCATGAAAAGCTCTGGTGCCACCGCCATGGCGATGCAAAAGTTCGGTCGAAGCTGGTAATCTTGCCACTTGCCTGGGTCCCGCACTAAGACAGGCCGAAGTTGGTTTGAGCTTTAATGCTTTGCCTTATGATCAGAATCATGCTCGAATCAGCGAGGTTGCGCGTGGCTCCGACCGTGTCGCGGTAGATACCAGCCACCGGTGCGCTTGTTTTCTCATCCGGGCCAATCCAGAACCTCAAGCAATGCAATTGCGCCGCTCTGCGAGTTCAGCTAAGATGATCATTTCCAGAGGGCAGTTTGACACAGAGCTGTTACGCGACATTCTGCAGACTGGTCTGCATGCGAACGGCACCAAAGCATCAATCCCTACCAGTAAATTTGCAATCAGTGAGAAACCGCGACGCCAATGGTGACAGCAACAGGCCGTCAAGAGAAAACAATGACAAAGAGAAGAGCAGGGAAAGGTGCGGCTGAGCGACAGGCGTTCGAAGTTTTCTGAGAGCCTGCTATCCCAGTCTTTGTACTTCAGCGGCTGACCGGAAGCAGTCTTTACCTGCTCATAGGGGAAGACATCTCTGCCTCAGCTGTCGTTTGATTCACAAAATGGGAAGGACGTAGGACTTGGGAAGCCAAAACAGATGAGATGCAGGCAAAACTGACAAAACTGTGTGCTGAACACAGGCAGATGCTAGCTATAAGCTGGCGAGGGGGAGAGACTAGAGGTAATGCAAGGTGCGCCAGGGTAGCACATGCCACTCATGCTGTCTGCATGAATGGCCCACTATTGACTTTCGACGCGTGGTTGATCATGCGAAGAAGGTCTTGAGCAAACAACTCGACATGTTCGTGCACATTGCTGTCGACCAGCGCACCCGGATGTCTACGATGCCAAGTGACTCCCGGCCAGTCTTATCTCCCGCACATGCTGCGCCATGCAGTGCTTTTTAAAGATTACAATGAATCAATGGCCACCTGACAGTCTGCCACAACAGAGCCGAGTCTCTCAAGCTAGAGAGCCACCGAAGAGCTGATTTGAGGAGACCAACAATCTCCTGCAACGCATGCTGCGAGCTAAAACTATTTGCGAGGGCAAACGTATCGAATCGTGCCTGTGAGCTCCTATGGCATCAGCAACAGCAGTCTTGATCCGATTGAACAAACTCCCAGAGGACATGCCACACAGCGGTCTTTGTGGCCCTGAAACAACAAACTTTCGACACTTAACTCTCAGAGTACTGCCTCGAGAGTGCTAGCTGTCTAAGATCAACAAGCTCACCCGGTTTTGGCCATGGCTCCACCGCTGCTCCGTCACGAGGCGTGGCAGGTTTCCCTTTGTTGCCGGCCTGTCACAATGGTTCCGGAGGGATCTGCAGATTCGGATCGGCTCACATGGTGTATGCTTGGTGGCCTTGGCCGAAGAGCCCATCTTGTCCATCCACGTGCCTTGGGTCGGATTGCCACGAGCATTTCGCCATCGGGCAGCTTCTTTTGCGACTTATCTTGCAATGACTTCTAAGGGCAAGCGGATGCATGGTAGGTGGCTGTTCCGAAGCTTGCCTAGCTTCTTCAATGCGCCTGCAGAAATTCAGCGAGGAACTACGTGTAGACTAGTCCGTGCCTGTCACAGTCACGACCCGAGCTCTTCCATGAAGTACCGGGACCACGGAATGGGTCCCAGCCGAGGCGCCGCAGTTGTGCTCGCTCCCTCCAAAGATAAGGCCGGTCTTCTCGTCAAGCCTCACATCACCACGGATCGCTCGTAAAAGGATCCCAAAGCCGAGCATTTGTGGGACGTCAATTTAACTCGTTTGCAGAGACCACTGCTCCGGCCTTACGCTGACATCGAAGCCCCACTCGCTCATGTCATCATCGATTCCTCCAGTCACTTGTAGGCTTTGTCTTTGCATCTTCACACTCACTATGGAACACTACAGTCTTAGTCCAGGCCATGCTGCCTTTTCCAGCATCGGGACCTCGTCCTGCACCCCACTCGCGGAAGTTGATGCCCTGCACGGAGGAAAGAACATGAGGCTTCCACAGAAATGCAAACCTTGGCACTCGCGATCCTAACCTGCACTTCTGGAGGTGCGTAGCACGATCAAGGCTCGAACTGCTAAGCCTTAGACTGCTGCAAGAATATGAAGCAGATCTGCCACCACTGCTTATCCCCATGTAAGATTACCGATCGTCGAGCCTTCGCATGCGCTGAGAAGATCAAATGGATTAGGTCGGCGATCGTCTTCACCTTACCCCACGTTACCATGAATGGGAATGCGCCCTAATGGAACTCAGCGACCTCCATGTGGGCAAGATCTGGATCCCAGTCCTGCGGAGCTCTGCCGAGATCTCTAAGTGTAAAAATCAAGGCAGTTGCTGCTACGTCAGGTCGGATCCACCACTCACTAGGCCTGGAGGGACACTTACAACTGTCGTCCTTTGCCAAGGCCGTAGAGGCCCTAAACCCTGTAGACCCCCTCCTTCGCAGGCCACTTTAAGCTGACTGGGGCGGCAAGGAAGCTCTCGCCCTCCGGTGACTCCGCCACGTAATCCTGAATTGCCTGTCACTGCACGTGCTGCGTCTGAACAAGAATCCTCCGTCTCTCCGTTTTTGTGGCCTGCATAAAGAACCAGGTCGCGTCTCGAGCATTGTAGCGCGGGCGGTTGGCCGCATCCAGGAGGTTAGGACACAGGCCATGGCGAACGACGCTTGCGTAGACCAGAAGAGTGTCCCGAGCCTGAGGTTCACAGTGCCCGCCAGAACATACTACCAGCTGTGCACCTGCTGGATGCTCAAGCGCGGAGGATCGCAGAGGGGCGCAAGGATCCAAGTAACCCGCCTCCTGGAAGTGCCCCGTGACCAGCAGGCACCCCTGTGGGACAAGGGGCGAAGTCCAAGAACTTGGGGTTGGGAATGAGCCAGGGCCGGCAGCATGCCTCTGGCATCCTCTGGGCATCTGCATATGCACGGGGTATGCTGGTGTGTTGCCTGCGTTTGCTGCTAGCTCTAGCTACAAGTTACAATTCTCCTCCGAATCGTTCAAACTTGCGTGCTTCTTTCCTACCCCGCACACCTTCAGTGCGATGAAGGTGTCCCGGCCCCAGTTCCGCATAAAGCCTGCTGCGAAGTGAGGGAGACCGGCCTGAGAATGCGAGACCATGAAAGTCTGTTTGTCAGCAACGCTCAACAAGCAAGCATAACAAGTCATCAGCGAGGGTCGCAGAGCGAAGGCACTTTGTGCCAACCATTGCGCTGTGCCAGATCCCAGTTCAGCGGTGCAGATTTTGTTGCGCCCCAGAACCTGAGCTTGAGATGATGCCGAGGCCAGGGCATGTCATGGTTGTCGGGGTGAAAGCGACCTAGCCAATTCTGCCAAGAACTGGGAGGTCGCCAGCGCCACGTCTCGAATCAAATCTGAGGCTCCTCAGCACATGTGCGGGGCATGATGTTACCTCTCATCCGCTCTCGCTTGGTGCCCTTTACACATCTGCGTAGGGGAGGCCCGACTCACTTCTGGCCCAAAAAACCGCCTCATTTGCGACCGGAAACTATTTACTTGTGACTCTCCGGCCCCTGCCACACACAAGGCATGCGGCTTCCACTTAGGGTTTGCCACCGGTTGAGGGTTCACAGCTTAGGTTTGGGTTTGACGGCTTAAGGTCTTCTGGCGTGGGGGGGTTTACGGTTTAAGTTTTGAGGTTTTTCGGGGCTTCGGGTTTACGGGAGAAACAGGGGTCTTAGATTCTTGTGCATTTCGGGCTTTGGGTTTAAGCTCTGGGGTTTTTTTGCTGTAGGGGCGCACAAGCGGGAATATCCTGCGACTGTGTAATTTCGTGCGCATCGCAGTATGACGACTGGCCGCTGAACCCATCAGCCGTAAGGGCCCTGAGGCCCCTTTTTGTAAGGGGCCCTCCTCCGTGGGTCCACAGCGAGGCCCAGCTGGCCAACACCTTGACGAAGAAGGGGGCATACCGGGAGCACGAGCTCTACCATCGGATGATTCATTGCTGGCGCTTAGTCGAAGAAGAGAAGATGATGTCAGCTCGAAAACGGAAGGGGCTGGGGCTTCTGCCACTGGAGCGGGCAGAAGGGAAATCCGGAGTTTCATGCACTAGGGATGTCGAAAAGCCAGGGGATGCGCAGACTCTCTCTTGTTCAAGCGCTCAAAGTCCGGGAACCGAACGGGGGGGTGAAAGTTCTTCCCAAACTCAGGCTCTCTTTCCGCTGTTGACAGGTGATCCGCGCCACGCAGCTTCGCAGAGGATCAAAGCAGGGGCCCAGCGACCGTAGAGAGAGACTGAGCCGCTCTGCAGAGCCGAGCCACTTTGCTTCCTCCGGAACCCGCTGCCCTTAAGAACGAAGCTTGGCCACCGAGTGCTACCTCCATCGTTACCACTTTCGGGGTTTATGGTTTAGGCTTAATTAAGGCTTTCGAGTTTCGACTCACACACTCGCAAAGCAGGCATGGCTCACAGCGTCCGAAATTGGTTGGAATGCCAAAACAGTGGAAGCCCGAAAAGAATCACAAACGGCCGAAAAATTGAAGGGGTGTTTTGTTTTTTGTGCGGACTCATCTGAGAACAGATTTATAGGCTCCGGGGAAATTAAACAGTATGCCCGAGGTAATCAGGATGTTGGCTGTGGTGTTGATGGAGACAACGACGACGAGGATGAGGATGAGGACTAGGATGAGGACGAGGCGATGATGATGATGATGATGATGATGGTGATGGTGATGGTGATGGTGATGGTGACGATGATGATGATGATGATGAAGATGACGACCGGCAGAGCGAGATACAGGGTCACAAGTCACAAGCGAGCAGTGTCTGGGTCACAAAATGAAGCGGTATTTGGGTACTTGGACAGCCCTCTCACCCATGCTCTGCAGAAGCTTCTGCTGGATTTGATATGAAAAGGGTTCAATTGCAACAGAAACTTCCCTCGTGCTTCGTGCCGCAAGCGACGGTTGGACTTGGGTCAAAAGCCAACCCAAGAGCGAGGCGCTGAGGGTCCCGAAAAGGGGTCATGAGGCAACCTTTGCACCAACTGCAAGCTCCATCTTTCTGTGGCTGTGGTCGAGTGAGAGTTACCCCTCACCGGCGCTCAGATGCATAAATTCTTGACACTCACACTCGGACAACCCTTCCCGGTCTCACACGACCGTCTGACAAGTGAAAGGACTGCAAGGGCCGTCAAGCGGGGTACCAACACACAAATTAAGGTGTGTTCATACTCCTCCTGTTCTCATGGTCATAGAGCAACTGTTTCTTGTGTCTCTCGCACAACCGGAGAGGAGCAAGGGAACAGTGCGTGCTGTAGCCTGATGCCCCTGACCGTGCAATTGCAGGTGCCTGTCAGAGTAAGCATTGTCTCGACATTGCGTTCTATCAAAGGTTGTCTCCGAGGCGCCATGGAAAGCGGACACGAAGTCGGAGGACACATCCAGAAGCCTGCAGCACTTCAGTTGCTGGGCTGCAGGAAGTTCGTGTGTGCTTCGTTCGGCTTCCCGGTAACATGCACGTGACAGCATCCACTTGCAGCACCCAGCCAAATCAGTCAGCTCCCCATGCGTGTCTGAGCTTGTGTACCAAGCAACTCCTTGCTGGCTGCAGCACAAAGCCCCGGCACAAGGAGGTCGAAATAGAACCTTTCGGGCAATGCTTGGAGCGCATGCCTTGTTGACCTATTTGCGCCTCCTGGCGCCCGAGCCCACTTGACACATGGGACTCTGGTGCAAATTCAGCCCTTCAGCCTTCAATTTAAACCTCATCTGCGATCAACTACAATCCCGATGTCAGTTGGGTACCAAGCCACAAGTATCACCGAGGTGCGGGGCAAGTTTCCGAGGGCAGTTGTGGAGGATTCCAGCAGCCTTCTCCAACCACTCCTGTTTAACGATCTCTTTCGAACACTCGAACCGAGCTATAGCCACTAGGTGTAGCTGAATATGACAGCATGCTCATAAACCACGCAGTTCGCATGTCTGACGATGGCACAGTCCGAAACTGCTTGGACAAAGTGGAAGGTTCCAAAGTCAGGCCTTCACCATATCGAGCCCGGGCATGTGCACCAGTCGCTGGGTCAAACAGGCGATTAGCCAATCACCCTGCCGGACGTTCTCCAAGACCTGAGCTGACTGAAGGAACCTCTCTGGCTCAAAGACCCGACGACATCAAATGCACACTTAATGCTTCAGATGAACGGGACTTGTGAGGAGTTCGGACTCCGTGTGCTGCCTCCTGGCCTCATCCAAGGCTGCGCCTCGGCAGCAGAGCATAATATGTTGCACACGGACCAAGTCAAGTCGACTTCTTGCCTATGACCATCGAAAATAGAACACAGACGTGCTGGATTGGTGAAAGCGCAGACTCCCATAATGCCGCAGTAAGCAAACGGACCAAAGCCAGGAATATCGTAGGCACCTGCGGCAGAAAACACTTTTGCGCTTCTCAGGATGGAGTTCGCCCAGCTTGGCTTCAATTCATATCATGCGGGTACTGATACTAGGCAACGGTCGCTTCTGCCAGGTGCTGTGCTCCCTATGTCTCTCTCCGGATGTAAAGATCTGCCTGACTTGAGCCATGGCTTCAGTATCTGCAGTTGAACGTGGCAGCTGCGGAAGGTCAAGCTGCTGCGCCACATGGACTGGACTGGAGTCCTTTTGTCATAGTATCACTCATAGTCATACTATCGAAGCAGGCCGCAGGCCCTTGCCTCGCTTGCCATCCGAGCGATCCCTCTCTTCGGCCTCGCAGGAATACCTTGCCACCAGACAGGTCCAAGCCTATGCCTATGTGACACCGGAGACATCGACTCCTGAGCGGCATTGGAAGCCACGAACCCAAGCCAGCAAGTTTAGACAAGCATGACAAGCCATGACAAGCCTGATGCCTAATCAGCCTTTGCTCTTGCAACAGGCAGATCATGCACTTCTGCGATGACACCCCTGGACATGAACAAGGCACAGCAAGTAGTTGAGCTGATGCAAGCCCAGACCTTGGACGACAAGGCATCTTCAGACTTCCATCAGGGACAGCACAGAACCGACGGCATGCACATTGCTACTCATGTCTGGCCTTGCAAAGGTCTTGAGATTTGCTCGGCGGCCAACAAGTTCATCACGGCCTGAACACTTAGGAAGCTACAAGTAACGGACAGCACCCAAAAAAAGCTCAAAAGCTGGTTCCGCAGCTGCTAGCCCCTTCCCCCCCGCTGCTCCCGAAAGGCTCCACCCGCTCCCTGCCATCAGAAGGCCCCCCCCCCCCCGCCCCCGCCACAGCACCTCCCTAACCCTATCCAACAACATTGGCCGAGCACTATCACTATCGCTTATACTGTTACGAATATGGCTGCTAACGTTGTTACAAAAACTGTTGCCGTTTCTGTTCCTAATAATCTTGCTACTACTGTTACCATTGCGATTACTATTGCTTTAAGCTATTGCCAAGACTTCGCCTTGCTCTATCACTACCACCGCCACTATCACTACCACTCCTCCGCCTCCTACTCCTACTACTACT